AACTCGAAAAGAATAAATCTTATCTCTGCCTTCCCTGGTAACAAATAAATGAAAACCGTCAAAACTTTATACTTAGAATTAAAACCATGACATGAAATCACATATCTACAAGTTCCTTGACTTTAAATGGTCGTTTTACAGCACTATTACAAAGTATTTGAACACGATTAGGTTGTAGCATTTGTCTGTAAAGGATACGACATTAGGGTGCGCCCACACTGCCGTCGTGAAGGCGGTTCGTGGAACAATGCACTAAGCACCTTTAGCTCTAACTACATTTTAAAGCGACGCAAACCATAAGCGATTAGCGGGTTACTGCTAAAATCGGATTATTTCGTTAACGTGTAATATATGTTTAGTAAATAAGAAAGTTTTAACTTATTTTCATTTGATATTTGTTTTAAAATATCTAAGACCGATACTTTTAGTGACTGAATGCCTATTCTTCCACCATTCTTGGGAAAAAGCAAGGGTTAAATACATTAACAGGATATTACGGTATAATAAAATTCATTTAATACACCCGCATAAGATATAATAAAGGAGAATTCCAGTAAGTCATAAAATTAAGATGAATCTCATAACTTGGACGGTTGCTTAGTCATAAAGAATTAAGATAGACGATAACTGTAAGCCATAAAGCACGTCATCTGATTTGACCGGCACGAGCTTCAGTTTAAACTTAAGTTGCGAGGCGAAGCTTATCACGCTAGCACAGCTCGTTAAGCAAAACATAAAAACTGCAAGCGCTTTTATCTAAAAACAATGATACCAACAAACATAAGTCACATTGTAATTGCTTGTATTAAATAAATATTTTGATGTTTCTTATCATTAGTTAATGTTTTTGAAACGGTTTATAATCTAAACTACTCTCTCTCTCTCTTTCTCCATCTCTCACTCTCTCTCTCTCTCTCCGTCTCTCTTTCTAACTCGTATGGTGGTGAGGTCGGCTATTCTAATACTTTTCTACTCTTCCACTCTTCTCTGTCCACATCTTCATTTGAGACTTAGCACGAACTAAATTGTATAAATAAATATATTTTGAAATCATGAAGAAAAATTAATATATTTCTGACTAGAAACAGTAATAGTCCATCGTTGATAACATCTATAGTTGCTAATTATAATTTAAAGTCGTTAATGTTTTTTAAAACCCAAGGTTTCTCGCCTTTCCAAACGATGCTACCGAGTTACGTAATTAATTTGAATAAATATATCGTTAATTCGTCGGTAAGTTCATTAAAAATATAAGTTCCGAATTAGTACTTATTTTGTCCCAAAAAGGTCTGCAAAAGTATTAAAAACAACAGGTAAACGTTATCATTTCTCGAAATCGTATCTTCAACACCTTATAGCGTAGCGTGTTCAATATTCATAAGTCCGACTCGAATGTAAATATAAAATTTCAAGTTTTCGCGATTGTGTTGCTGTGAATCGAGTGTCAGGCGACCGTGGCTGCTGCTGCCATGTGGACACCCTTTACCTAGAGACTTTATTGCTTTGCCTCCATAGAATCTACATAAATGTCATCCGAAATAAATTACTCACACCCGCCGATGTCTGTAGGGTTGACCATACTGTACTGAGGCATTATTTTTAAAAGTTGTATCAACTATCAGGTAACACGAAAATTCTAACTAGATTCTTCAATAACATTAGGCTAATTTTAATCAAGAGCTAAGGATATTCATCAGAATGTCCACTGTTGGCTTTTTACCGTAAGATAAACGCTACTAACTAAACAAGTTACATGCAAAATTGAATTACTCTTTTTATTTTTAACGAAAAAATTACGAGAGTGGCAACCCTAACGTGTCAATATTTATGGCGCTATATGATATTCCGACAACCCCGTACCGTTGGCGCTTTTAAATTGAATATTGGAAATTTTAAATAACACATAAAATTATGAGATATGTTAATTTTATACCAATATCGCTCGCTCGAAATATTTATTGCTAGTGTGAAGTTAAATAAGGTTTTTAACTCAGACTAAACATTTAATGGTTTTTAAGATCGTCCCTTAGTGTAGATTTAGTAATCATCAACTATTAAATAGATTTGTGTAAATTTGGTAAAGCATATTCTAAAATGAAATATCGATATCTCAATATTCTAGCTGCGATAGTTTAGGGTTTGAGTGCCAAATTTTTAAACGAATGACGAGACCAACCTCTTTCATTAACTTCCTGATGATATTAACATGCATAAATAATATTTAAGATGTGTAATAAAGAGTCTAGAAAGTAAAATATTTTAAAGAAAAAAACATAAACGTATTTTGAAGAACTATTAAATGAAGAAACTATGTCGTATTGTTTATCTATTCTAATTGTAATTTTCAAACAAGGACAAGGGACAGATGGTTGTCTCCTGACAGAGATGGATTGCACTCTAGTCCCGCAGGTTGCAGTATAAAGGACCCTATTGTGATTCGTCGCATCTTTAAAGTTACCTGCGCACACGCAGCCCCTTTCAAATCTGTCACTCCAGCTTAACTATACAACACTCGGAAATGAAAAGACGTAAAATCTGTTAGATTTATTGTCATGAATATAATTTGATTTCAAATTTGTCTTGACGAAAAACAAACATATTGTATTTGAATGGGCAGTTTTATTACAACTAGCTGTTGCTCGCGACTTCACCCACGTGAAGTAAAAAAAAAAAATTGCCTATGTTACTCGGTAACAGCAGCTCGGTAACAGCTTTTGAATGACCATTAGAATTTTTAAAATCGGTAAAGTAATTCTTGAGTTATTTCAATTCATACAAAAATCCAAATCTTTAATATTTATAATATTAGTACAGATTATCTCCTCATTGTTAGAGAGACTAGATATAAACAGACATAGCAAAAGTGATTCTCTCTTATGCGTGTTATTTTGGAATGTTTATCTTGTTTACAATTAAATTTATAACTATAAAAGAACTTTATATTTTTGCATTTAGCACTAGAGACTTAATAAAAATTTCCACGAAGTATTTGAAATTAGAACGTACGTAAATGTTGCCTTTATAATTGAACACCACAAATATTTCTTTTCTGTACTCCTTAAACGTATATACAATTTGATTTTATCACTTTAGATATTCTCGTATCCCTTCACCCTCATCCTTTATTGTTGGCATAAAATCCGAAAGGTGTGCAATTCACGGTAATGATAACAAAGCTCACCACGGGGTGCAATTTCTGGAAGGTCGCCGCGTCACTAAACCTCTGTGAAGGTTTAAGTTTTTTTTTTCACGTGCGATTTAAACTGTTGTGGCATTAACACTGGCCAGTAATAAGATTAAATCTCGCCATTGTCAGTCTAATCCTTTTTTTGATGTAGGAACTATTTAAAGAAATGACAAATTCTGGCACCGTGGATATACTTTATTTAATAAATGTTTTTGATTTTTTTAATTTAATCTAGTTTTTTTTATTGAGAGCATATTGGTGGTTTAGAATATTGAAAAGTAACCACGTAAATAACAAAAAACCTAGTGGCAGTTACCGAGAAAATTCTTAACTCTCCAACTTTTTAATATTAAAATATTGAAAACTGCGTCAAAAACAGTTACATCACCCAACGTTTAATCTAAAACAAACTTTTGATAGTTTTGACTTCCGGCAAGTAACGGCTAACGTTATTGGCTCGTTTCCGCCTCGATCACAAGATACATTGTTTGTTTGTCCAGACGTTAATGTCTACAACAAATTGCTAATGATATAAATAACGCTGTCACTGTAATCCGTATTACATGTTACGTTATAATAATGTTGGATTCTAAGTTCCAACCGAAATAAGAAAGTAAATGTTGCCCGACCAAAAAATAACCTATTGTACCCCCTTTTTTGATAAAACATTCAACTAATATCGGGGGCCTGGTGATATTGAATATGTATTTAAAACTAGCATTCGCCCTCGAATTCGTGTGCATGGAATTAAAAAATTATGTAGGCTTTATATTCTTCCCGACTGTCCTCTACATCTATGCCAATAATTTCTTCAAGATTCTTTTATCTGTTAGGCTACAAACTCTCATAATCTATCTATACTTTCACATTTATAATATTAGTCTATTTAATTAATGTTTTCAATTAACAAATCTCACGCATATTTGTTAGTTATTTCTCTTGTACTGGAAATCGACGTCTTAGAACGTCTCTTATTCTGGCAGTGAATGTACGACTTTTTTCTGTTATATCCATGCCTGATAGAAAAGTGCTCGCTCTTGTCAACGCCTATTCCAGTTTCTCTTCAAGGCAGTCTCATTGAATACGTATGTATTCCAGCATCTTTTTGTAGCCATTACAAATAATGAAGCAAAGCATTATGTTCAAACGTAAGTGATTCATATTCCTTGTAAAGTTTTTAGTCGTAGATAGCGAATGATAAATTTCTTTGCACACAATCATTAGTCAGTATGATATTGCAGTAAGAGTTTATATTCTATTAATGTTTAAATATAATTTTAGTATTATTTATAAGCATTAAGAAATGTCAGTTATAGATTGGTGGTTCTTGTCTTGCATGTTGTCTATTTTTTACATAGTTAAATTAAATGTAATAAATCAATACCAAGGGCTAATTGCTAATAAACACTGGACAGATGTTTCAACTGTACAGATAGTTTGATATTGTTATCAAGATCGTTATCAACTAGTGCATGATAATCGGCAGAGGCGATAACGAGATGTTTATTTGCAGACTAAAGCAAAAAGGGAAGTTTATGTAAATATGTAAAAAATCATTAATATTTAGCATATTTTTCTTAAAATACATTTGTACATTAAAATGCATTTACATATTTTGTTATAATAAATATTGGTGCATTGCACTTATTTTACTTTAAGACGGTTTTGTAAGCTAGTAGACATGAACATTAATAAAAAAGTATATAAACAGTGACACTCTATGCTTTAGTTTTTGTAGTTTGAAAAAGGAATTTCTCCCCCTTAGTTATAAAAGTACACATGTTTTCTATGTTTCTGATGAATGCAAACTTACCTAGCAGTCTCCATACTTCTGCACTGCTTAAATAAACATTCAAATGTGCTAGACAAGCCGGCAACAGCAGAAGAAATATTAAACACTTCATGTTTTCAATTTGTCCCTCCTTAGGTCATAAATAAGGTCCTCATTAGAACCAACAGTTCACCAAAATCACAATTTCTTCACATTTTTTTCAACCACAGTCAAACGACGTTGAGTTCTCGCCGATACAAGATTACACACTCGTATAAATCGTATAAATTCACAAGAAACCCGAATTAAATGCACGAATCAATACAGTGATACTTCAAAGTTTTTAACCTTATTCATCAAAAAGTGTATTTCTTTACAAAGAGTCATCAAATACGTAAAAAACAATACAAATAAACGTTTCTTTACAAAAAATTACGACACAACCTCTCTCCCGTTTAGGTTAAAACTAACTGGTTGGTTGTTTGCCTTGTCGTCCGCCTTTGCTCAAACCGGTCGCTACGATGTATGGTGTGGAAAGTCCTAAGCGCCACATTGTAACAATTCTGTATCTCTAATGCATCCAATAGATGGCGGTAAAACAAACTAAAAATATATTTGTTAATTCAAATTCTTTTCTCTGCCATCTATCGTAAGGAAGTATAATCGTTATAAAAACAATTTTTTTCAACCCTTTCCGTATTGTTAGATGGCGTGATCATCAAAGTTAAAGGCGTGAAAAATAAATGATTTACGTATTTAAGATTTTTTGAATTTTGCTATATCATGTTTATAGCACATCTTTGTGTAGAATTGTTAGTTAGTAATTTTAGTTTTTAAACAAGCATCAAGTACTTAATTTCGAATTAGTACGTAAGTCCTCGGTAGTATAGTGGTAAGTATCCCCGCCTGTCACGCGGGAGACCGGGGTTCGATTCCCCGCCGGGGAGAACTTTTTTTTGTGTTCATTTTGCTAAAAATCAAAACTAGTCTTTATTTTGCACTAGCTTTCGCCCGCGACTCTGTCCGCGTGGAATTAAAAAAAAACTAAACTAAGTAGTCTATGTGTTCTTCCAGACTGTACTCTACAACCATACCAAATTTAATCGAAATCCGTTTAGCCGTTTAGGTTACAAACTCTAACAAACATCCATCCATCCATTTAAACTTTCGCATTTATAATATTTGTAACTATGAAGTATGATTAGTATGAAAGTATGATTAGAAGCTTAATTTGTATTTTTCATTTATTTGATCTCTCTTACCTTATTATTTATCTACTATTTATTTACAGGTTACGCAATGAGACAACGTGATAATTCAATAACATTTAATACAAAAATTAATAAAAAATCTTCAATTCATAATGTTTCGTCCTTTGGTTAGACAATTTCCAATTTTAAAATCAAATTTAAAATCGATTATCTTAAAATAATGAATCAATCGGTAAAAATTATAAATAGGATTAACATAATAAATAAAAGTTTTATATTCATCAGTACAAAAGTTGATTATGAGAAAAATAATATAATGGACACGTTATAGTATAGTAGTAAATGATAAAAACTAAATTCTAAAACATAATTGTTACGGCACGTAAAAGCATATTCGAAAATTAAATACACGTTAACATTATAGGAGAGGCTACACGTATGGCACAGAGGAACTGTCGGGAGCTTATTTTTCTTTGGGTTTCTTTTCTTTCTTACGCGGCGGGGGCACGGGCGCGTCGCCACTCGCTGCGCTCTCCTTCTTAACCACCTTCTTCACGACTTTCTTTTTAGGCGCTTCTGCTGGTGCCTTTGCTTCAGTGGGAGAAGTTGGCAACGTTGGCGACGTTGGCGACGTGGGCGCCGGTTTATCCGCTAGCGAGGACTCTATTTGGGCTGCGGTCGTGGGCTTGTCTTTAGCAGGTTTAACTCCTATCTGTGAGAGAGACACTGAGCCAACGGGCGGGGTGGGCAGCTGCGATTCATCAGCGGAAAGTCGTTTCTCCTGTTTGGGTGGTGGTGGCGAGACGGGACTGCGCAGCGCCGGGGTAGGGGAAGTGACAGTTGGCGTGCGCAACTCGCTGGCGATGATGGACTGCGCGAGCGTGTCGGCGTCCTCAAGCTCGCTGTCGGGGGTAGGCAGGGGGTCTGCGACGGCGGGCGGGTGCAGGCGCAGCTTGCCCGCCGGCTTGCGGCGCGCCTCCGCTACACAACCAATTTATTCCCTCCTTATATTTCTCGTTTTCGGTTACGGTTGGCGTTAGTATCGCGGTCACATTAGAGAGCAAGCTCGGTTAGCGCCTGGAACAAAGTCGAGGGAACAGAGCTACAGGGTTAAATCGAAACGATGCAAGCGGAAAGTTAGAACTGTGTCAGTTAGCGGACATCACAAGCTCATGATGACATTACAAGGATTATTATTTTACAAATCATTACCTCATGTATGTATACTGAGCATGGTCCGAAACAATTATTTAATAACTAGAGAGTATAGGTATTCTATTCGTAGTATTATGACGTTGATCGTGATAAGGTGTGCACAAGTGAGAATGTACCGTGGAGGACAAGCGTTGAATAATGTTCCTTGCAATGTGTGACAAGTCATGAAAAGCAAAACAAAATAAAATACGAAATTGTTGATTTTGAGACAGTTCTGCTACTGCGTGGTAAAATTGTGAGGAACTTTGTATTCATTCTCTTTGCAGTAATCTTTTTTCTATTTATAATTAGGACTTTTCAAGTTTTGTTCTTATCGACTTGCGGCTTTATTTACAACCAATTTAATAGTAATTTATCTTCTACCACATTTTAGAGTTTTTCATTATTTAATTTTGGTGACTCGCATTTATTATGATAAATCATAACTCTGCTTAAAATAATCGAATTTTAAAATTGTTAATAAAATGTATTCAGATAAACAGATTTAAATAATTTAACCAGTTTTATACGGCACCTGTAGCGGCTAGAATTGTATATTAAAAGACAACTGCATCGAGTAAAATCAATTTAGATTAATAGAAATCGATTAATTTCCAATAGTTCCTTGATACATCCCAGAAGTAACACCAACATTTGTCACAGTCGACCAAATGTTCCTACGTCATTTTATACACACTTGGACTCAACCCAAATTCTAAATAACTACATGAATTTAATATGAAGGACATCGGATATTTCGGTAAAGCATACACGTGAAAAACAATTTCAATATCTAGCGTAGACTAGCATACGTTAAAATTTATTTTAGCATAAAAAAAGAACCGAAAAGATAATTTGTTTAGAAATCGCCTAAAAGAACCTCTGTGTTACAGACGCTCATTAACCTCCTTCTCTTAATAAATAATCAACTTCTTGACTTAGAATCGGAGATAGATATAATAATAAGTTTAAAATAAGGTGCAATAACCTTTCCTTCATTGTTAAACTTGTTATAAATCTATTTTAAAAATTAATAGACACCATATCCCAAATTAGATAATTGGTGTTGAGTCCGAGTGTAATATTATTATTACCTGTTCTATCAAAGCCGCGTCTCTTGAGCTGCCTCCTCGGTAGCTGGGTGAAATAACAACGTAATTTTGAAAGGTATGATCAGTAAATTAACATAAAAACCAAACAGCACAAAACGGCACAAATAAAACAAAACAAGTTCTACAAGACGGATAGGTGTTCCAAACCAATCTACCCTGTAGAACAAACTATACTTAACTAAATAATGGAATTAGTAGAAATCTGACAAAAAAAAAAAACTGAAAAATGTACTCTGTGGACGAAGCATATATAAAGAATAGGTTGTTCTTTTAGAAAATAATAATGATTGCTGGTCGATGAGTTATGAATAATTGTAAACAGTGAGGTGTAGACGCAACCTTTTCATACATTAATTCATGGACTTGTAGATAATATGTTTAGGCATTATTTTTAAAAAGTCATTTAATAAAAAAAAATACCATGTACCATGTGATGTTCTGTCTTGATGTGTTAGTTAACGCTGTATTTTATTTACGTTTTACCTCTCATTTGTATATGCTTCGTTATAATAACTGTGCAAAGCCGTTCAAACTCAACGGGTTGAATGTCGTCATTTACACCTTTACTTACATTTAGCAGCCGCTTCAGCTGTAACATCTTCCTTAGAAGGCGTGTTTGCTAGAGGAGGGCTATCAGTGGCACCTGTCAAAGGGATATCTGCTGGTTTTGGTGGAACAGCCTCGGTCGCTGCAGGAGTAGTGGCTTCGGTGGCAGTAACAGGCGTTTCAGGAGTTGCCGCAGGTGTCTCAACAGGGGTAGCCTCAGCGGGGGCGTCCTCAGAAACTTTAGTGATCACGTCTTCTACTTTTTCTTCAGTTTTTTGTTCTTGAGGAGGTGCTACGGCTGCTACTGGTTCAGCCTCTGATTTAGGAATTTCAGTTGCGCTAGCTTCTATAACAGGGGCAGGTATTTCATCGATTTTGACTGCTTCCTCAGCGGGTGTCTCTTTTTCCGCTAATACGGCTTCAACTACCGGAACAGGTATCTCCGGAGTTTCAGGAACTGATGGTTCAACAGGAATGTCGGCAGTCTCGACTGCTATAGTAGATTCTTCTGAGGAAGCTGCTTCAGGAAGTGCTTCTGTCGTAGGAGCTGTCTCCTTAGCAATTGGAGTTTCAACGGCTTCTACGGGGCTAGGTTCAGCTTCTTGAGGACTATGTTCGACGGATTGGGATGTTGGCTCGGCTTCTTGTGGACTAGGTTTGGCTTCTTCGGAGATAGTTTCAGTTACTAGAGAGCTAGGTTTTGGGTCTTCAGAGACAGGTAGCGCGGGTAATGCTGATTCTTCTGGTGAAGTCTCTACAGGTGGCTCTGATGAAGGTTCAGGAGTTGCTAATGGTACAGTTTCAGAAGATTTAAGCTGAGCGGATTCTTCGGTTGGCGGAACCGCTGCTACGGGCTCTTCTACTTTGCTAGGTTTTACTGCATCTAAAAGATCTTCTTTCGACTGTTCTGATTCCACAGGAATCTCGGTTTTGGGTTCTTCTACTGCAGGAGCTGGAGAAACCGCAGGTTGCGGTACTTCTGTTGCTTCCGCTTCTGCTGCAACTGGAGGTGGGGTGGGTTCTTTCGGTGGTAATGCTGGAGGCTGACTAAGAGTTTGGGAAATCTTCGCCCAAATATTGGCAAAGGAATCGGCGCCCATGTAATCAATATTGCCCGCTTCCCATCCTTGGCGACGAGTTAATTCATCAAGTGCTTCTCGCTGTGCTCCAATGTCGCCAGGGGATACGCGTGCTAGATTGCCCGCCACACCGCTCTGTAATAAACACATACATACTATAGCATTGCGTTAGGTTCAGATAAACATTACATATTCGTAAAGTATTCAAAATGTTATAACAATTTTATAGGGTTTCTTTACATGTGTTAATAAGCATTTTCGTGCAGCCTAAATCAACAAAACAGCATGCAGGCTACTTTGGCAATAGCAAAATCATTCTCTTACAATGAAAAAATAAAATTAATTAAACACACTTTAAACAAATTGTACGTACCTATTTTTCGATGAAATAGAATGTGATTAAAGTAACTTACATGTTCTCGATCATCGCTATCTAAGTAAGTGTCCTCGGGCGATGAGAATTCGGATTCCGCATCGAAATAAACTGGACTTTCTGCAGGTGAGATCGAAGGCGAGGGCGATGGAGGCGGAGGAATTTCATGCGTACATATCTTACGGCCACGTGAGTCTATTGTCGTTCTGTGCCGCAAATAAAACCCATCATAAGGATGACGTGGAACAATAAAATCTTCAAAACCATCTATCTCAGATTCTGAACCGTGACCATTGGGTACTTTCTCTGTTGCTAGGTCCTTCAACTTTTCTATTTGACGATTTCTTTCTTTCTCATGATCTAAATGTACGTAATATGCGTATTCCATTCTTTTTCTTAACGGGTGAGTAAACTGTTCTATTTGTTCTTGTAAATGCGACATATGCATTTGAATATTTTGAGATTCAGAATTCCCATTAAAATGTGAATTTTGATCGTTAGTGTGAGAGTGTAAAACGTTACATTCATGATTACAAAACTTTGGCTCATTTATATCTTGGTGGGACTGAGAATATTCGAGCTGATGCATACTAGGACATACTAATGCTGGAATGTTTTTGTCGGAGGAAGGTTGATGTTCATGCTGAAAGGCGAAGTGTGATTGGGAAGGATCTGAAATTTGCAAATTATAGTATTCTTGATTACTTTGATTATAGGTTTCAGAGGAGGCATTAGGATAATTTGAATCTTCAGAATGGTGTAAACTTTGTTGCTTGTAGCTAAAATTGGAATGTGTTTCTATGTCTTTATTGTAACTACAGTATTCATTTTGGTGACCATCATAATGTTTATTTTCATAATGATTATGGTTGTTGTATGATTCTGTATTGTGCGGTTGTGACCACGAGTGCTGCGTTGTGTTTTCGCGATATATTTCTGTATTGGGTTCTGAGTGCCATGAATCTACATGTGCATGATTATCATTGTAGTATGTTTCATGGTGTTGTGGTTCCTTGTGATGTCTTTTATTGTGTTGTCCTTCAGTGCTAAATAATTCGGTGTGAGATGTTTCCTGGCGATGTGTTCCGTAATGTTGTGTTTGTTCGCGATACATTTCATGGTTTCTTGTATCATGTACTGGTATGTGATATGGTTCAGTGTAATTTTGAAATTGTCGCAGTGATGGTTGTTCCCAAACATTTCTTATAACTTCTACATCTTGCTGATTAGAACAATTGCTTTTTGTCTCCTCTGTTGGTTTTATATGACCTTGGTAAATGTCCCATGGATCATGAAACTGTGTCATATCTATCGCGGGTACTATTACTTCTGGATCAGATATTTGAGCTTCTGGACGATGCCAATAAAATTCAGAATCCGGATCTAATATGGGTTTATAGTAATCATAATCAGATCTTTGTTCACTGTGGGTGAAGAATGTTTCTTCTGGCAGCGCTAACGTCGTAGGGACATCTTCAACCTCAACCTATGGTTGGAGTGAGAAGATTCAGGTTTGCATGCAAGTCACTTGGATCAAACTTCAAGCACGTCGAATTATTTTTTTTAAAACAGTGCAAGAAGCTCAATTCAAGTCATTAGTAAAAACAAAAGAAACAAAAAGCTAGCTAATAAACATACAGTAGTTGTTCACTTCGCTTATTTGTCATAAAAAATATTTGCAAGAAAATCACATGTATGTTTACGTAGCTAGCGAGGTGAAATTTCACCAAAATACCAACACCATCTACTCCATCCCAATACAAAATTAAAATAACAATAACCCGTGCAAAAGCTATAAAATTGCGGACAGTTAGAAAATGTTAGTATTTTGGAGAAATGCTTAGATTAATGCACTAGCATCGTAGTGTTTTATAAACGTGGTGCAATAACAGGAATAATGCAATAAGCTCAGTCTCAAGCGTGTTTGGTATCTATGTCTCGCAATATTTACAAACCGGAAAACGTAAAAAAAACAAACGTAAACTCTTCAAGAAATAAATTGAAATTAAGAAAAAATAAGATAATAGAAACGATGCTTGTATTAAGATTTCTCACCTCTGTTATATGTAATTCCTGTTCAGAATGCTTGGAAGACATGTTGTATCGATCAGATATAAATCACAAATGAAGCGAGAATACTGACTTAGTGCCTGAGGTTAATAAGACCAGAGACAATGCGGTTGGCAGATATCCGATACGATACCGCAAATATCAAATCTCCAATACAGTAATAATTTTAACAATCCTATTCACAGTGCAATATGATACTAGATTCTCGGATATCGATGTTACGCGGTTTTAATACTAAGAAAGTATCTTTATTCATTTCAAATATTACCGATAAGTAAATCGACTCCCGGCATTGTGGTCCATGTACAATTAATTAAGACCTACCTACTAGAGTATTTGGTTTGCTTATAATAAAAAAAAATGCTTTCTTCAGCGTTGCACCAAGGCCCGTAAAAAAGTAAAACGATTTTATATTGTTTTATCGACTTTAGTTCACAACACTAATGAAGTTGACAGCTGTCAAACTTTATTCAACCAGTGTTGCTATAAAACGCCGTTCGCAATTTAATTTCCGCCTACATGAAACTAAATACTTTAACGTTCAGAATAGCCTATTTTAGCCTACCACACAATTCTAGCACAATTTTTATTTACATTTATTTGACGTTTTAAAAAATGACTTACCATAGTAGTATCGAGCAGCGGGTGTACTTGCGAGACGAACAGGTCCCACCACTGCTGCAGCAGCTCCCGCAGGTGGTCGGGCGCGTCCACGCTCCGCGACTGCCAGTCGAACTGCTGCAGCCACGGCTTGGCCGCGCCGATGAAATGGATTATTTTAAGGTTTTGCCCATAGCTAGAAACGAAAATTCATTTGAATAAAAATATGGACATTTTGTATGTGTGATTTTATTTCATGCGATAATTAAAAACAAAGATTTACGATGAATAGGATGATCGAAATTGGTTCCGATAAAAACACAATCATACTTCATATTAATTTTATAAATGCGAAAGTTTAAAAGGATTGATGGATGTTTGTTAGAGTTTGTAGCTTTAACGGCTTCAAAGGTATGGATGAAATTTGGTACAGATGTAGAGTATAGTCTGGAAGAGCACAAAGGCTACTCACGCTAGTAAAGTAACAAATAACATCTGCACCACTATAAAACGTATCAAAACTTATCATGAGTGTTAATACAATAACTTACTGTTTGAGTGCGGGCAAGTATGAGTAGAATGCGGCGGAGGTAACGTTGTAGAGGAAAGGCAGATGCTTATTGATGTCTCCGTGCGCCCAGTCGGAGAAGTAGGAGTTTAGCAGCCCCTGGTCGCCGCCTGGACGAAAATAATATTAGCCTTGTTATAATAACAGTCCTCTTAGAAAAATTCTAAACTCCACTTAGTTTGTTTAATTACTACATATATATATATATATCAAGTTTAAACTAACGTTTAAATATTCGCCTCTCAACATCATTTTCTCTGACTCTGTGTATGTATCAGAACTAGCAAAAACTAACAGAAACTATTTTGAAAAAGAAAGATGTGGCAAAATATCGGCATTCAAATGAGTTATTCTTGTTAACATTTTGTCCGCTACTGTGTCTCACCATCAAAACTGCCGCGTTCTTGTGCAAACGTGATTAGGCTGGCGAAGGTCTCCGCGGAGGGACGGTACACGAAGACGCCGGAGTTGAAGCAATCGGGCCAGCCGACGTCCGGCGCTGCGGACAGCTCCTCACGCTCAAACAGTTCATCACAGTTTTGGACCACCTGGAATAAGTTTTTGCCTATACTGTAAGGTTACCTTAAAGTAGTGTAAATTGCTAACCTATGATTTAAGCTAGGTCTGGACAAAGGGCAATTACTATTATTATGGTTTTATTTGAAGTAGTTTTTAGTTTTTTTTATAAGTGGTCTCCTAGATTGCGTCCCTGCTCCTCAATGGCGACACGCATAACAATGATCACATAATTGTAAGTAATAATAAATAATAGTTTTAAAGACCAGTATAGTACTGGTTACTAGGCAATAATATTTATAAATGTAATTTAAAAATATCAATACCGCGATAGCATCATGCGTTCGTTTCATGATTACAACACAACGATAATTTAAGATACATTTATAGTCAATCGTAATCCAATAAATTGGATCAGAGTGAGGCGCATCCTACATCTGCTAATTCAATTTATCGACCTCGGCCGCTCAGCACGTTCCTCAGATCTAACAAATCCAATTTGTAGTTATTTTTCACCGGAGACATAATTTCGTTCCGTTTTATCAGAAGCCGTGTAATGCAAGCGTTCTTCACGACAACTAAACAGTAAATAAGTTATTGAGCAGTTTTTATCTTTACGTGGATAAAGCTTCGTTTGACACAATAACCCGCGATAATGATGTACGGTATGTCAATGGAATCCATCACGCTATCAACGTTTGATATTGGAGCGAATTATTTAATTTTTTGTGGCGCCTTGTTAGGTTGCGTAACGGAATGTCTCTCGCATGCAAAGTTATATCTGGAAGCGATGGTAATGCGTAATCTCCATAATTCACAATGCAGAGCTGTCCGCCATGTTAGAAAGAAAACGCAAACGAAAGTGTATTATGATATTGGAGCAAGTCCAACACTGCCGGAAATATTTGGGCCACGGTTGTGCGTCTCATCTCGTGTTACGACCGGCGATTACATCCGGTAACATTGACTTTCTTATTGTATAAACATCTACAAATCGAAATAGATTAACGACTATCACATATGGTTGTTATGGGGAATTAAAAATCGGTTAGTATCAAGAGAAACGATGTCTGCAACATGCGATAGGCTCATGTAAGAAATAGTTGCTAAAAATCGCGCCAAGAAAAATAAACACTTTTTACTACCATGTGGTTTTATAATGGATATTTTCGAATAAATGTTTATAATCACCTTTACCTCGTATTGAAAATCTTGATGAAATAAACTCCTACAATTTGACGAGTGATATTTATTCGAAATGTAATGTAACTGTTCAAATGTAAAAGTAAGAAGTCGGTTTCACAAAATACATAACAACCGAATGTGCAAGTAATCAATAAAATAACGTTTTCGGACTATTTATTTCGGTCAATGAGTGTATCTAGATTTTGTTTGGATCATAGGTCACGATGAAACACATTGGTGGCTATATGTATAAACAATGTGCATTCTGAACGATGTAATTGAGTATTATGCATCAATGATAACTTTATCGACCAGTTCGAAAAACAAGAATTAAACACTGTATCACAATAATTTACATTAAAACTGTTTGTCACTGTTAAAATGTACAAATGCTTTATATTATTATTATTTAAATAATCTAATTTGTCCTTCCACTGGCTGATAGAGGCCCAGATAGCTTAAAAATGACGTCACTGTCAGGTAAGGTAACAAAACCCCATTTCCATCACTTGTTTTACACGTTGAATTGTTACCAGACAATTTACAATTTGGTGGGACAGGCCTTTAATCATAATTATAAACTATCGAAGCTGTTCTTACTTGAAAAATCTACATTAAGCCACTGATTAAAAAATTACTAAAAGTCTCTGAATTTCACAAAGCTGGTTGTACATAAACTTACCAATGTATCAGCGTCAAGGAAGACGCATTTTTCATACTGGGTGAGGTTCCAACAGTGAATCTTGGTGAAGGTGATGCCGAGCTCGGGGCGCTGCAATAAAGCGAGGTGCGCAGCGTCTCCAGAGTCTAGCACGTCAACGACCACCACCTCAGCAAACACCGCGCTTAGACGATCCCTGAGTACCACAGATTATGTAAGAAATTGGCGTAATAATTTCCACAGAGATGCAAATCCTGCTTGAGTAGAAAAATCGTATTTCCTCTTACTATGATAGAATAATAATTAAGTATTTATTATGGAATATCAGAAGAAATTATAGTTTAGTTTTTAGTCCGACAATTTTAATAGATATTAATTGCGAAATTGTTTCTAATATTAGTTCGTTAAACTTGTAATCCTATCAGTTAATAATGCTGCGAGACCTTGAACAGAAACAGAAAATTATTGCTCGTTTATTCTGTATCAGTTGCGACCCACGCAGAATTAGCTTGGTATTCTTATGAACTAAGGATAGGATATCAAGCTATTATGCATCTTTATTAAACCAAACAGCTAAATGCACAGATCAAGTAGTCCCATAATGTAAAAGAAAAAGTTTTTATTAAATAATTACGTGTTTCAGAAGATGATCTTTTTGTATATTGATACCACAATTTTAACTAAAACATGTACCGATGCGATAAAAATAGTGTTCAACAAGATATTTGAAATCATACAGCATGTAGGCGAACATTTTGGGCTAAATTTGTCTCCTATGACGTACCTCATGGCGTCAGTAACTGAGGGTGTGATGAGGACGACAGCAGGGTAGGCAGAGCCGGCGCGGCGCAGCGAGTGCGCAAGCACCAGGGCTCCCAGCCCGTACGAGTCGTTTGTAGCCAGAGTAACCCATGCTCGGTCTGAAACAAATTAATTCAAATAAAATAAAGCCGAACGTGAAACAAAATGGAGACCCAATGGGGTGAAATAAGAAATAGTTTAATATCAAAATAAAACACCCGTGACTTAGAGGGCTAGACATAGTTCATAAATTTTTTTTTGCTTTTTTTAGAATAATACATCTATGCATACTTCCAATAAGATAGTGTAGTGTCCTGTCTTTACATCATAAACCTACTAATGGTTTATTATGTAGATAAAAGTCCCCATTCAAGACCAAAGTTGTGCCTTAGGCGCAGCACTGTCTAAGTAGGTATACAGTACAGATTAGTGGTAAGTTCTCAATTGCTAAGTATACAGTCCGATCAATTATAACTTTGAAAATAAGCGATTTATTTTCACGATTAAACGACTTCTTACAGACTGATTAAATTAATAAGAATGCTTAGTTAAGAATCAGTTAAAGCCATGTTAAGTCATAAGTGCATTGTAATACGTATAAGCGTATTGTTGCGAATGTCGACATGTAACACGACTCAATTCTCAGTAATGAGTCTAGGGTACTGGCGCGATGTCTGCTTGGAGGATTAAAATGGACGATCTTGTTATCAGTAATAGGATACAAAGCAAGTTAGAAAAAAATAAAATAAATTTTCATACGGAGTTATGGTATTTTCTAACTTTTGTCTCCGAATTCTTCTTAACATTGTTTAGAAATCACACTAATATTATAAATACGAAAGTTTAGATGGATAGATAGATGTTTGTTAGAGTTTTTTGCCCAGACGACTTAACGGATTTCGATGAAATTTGGTATAGATGTAGAGGATAGTCTGGAAGAACATAGGCTACTCATTCTTTTTTTACTTCCACGCGGACAGATTCTTAGAAAATATAGTAAAGTAAAACGAGAATAAAACGCTAAGAAAAGCCCGCACAAAGTGATTTGAGACATCTTTATGTGTATAAAATGTGCCAAACTATTTGAATCACATTATTCCCTAAAATTGTTAAACCATACACTTTTCACATTCTCACAAAAATACGTAAAAGAATTATAGAAATTGTAAAATATCACTAGTGGCGCCAAACACACATTAATAGATCATACGAATTTAATCACAATCCTGCGTTTGCCAATGACGTGCATAGATTTCTAAAATAACATAGAAATTTTCGTTTTGGTGGATTACGCCATTCCACGTTCCTCTTGTCTGAATACTCCGTCACTGCAAAGTGCGCAGTTCCCTGTTCATAAGATGCGTATAAGCGCCCACCAAGCGAGCAAAATTGTAATCTGGCACGTGGTCGAGCCACAATTGGCTTACAATATTTTCAATATAACACCCTGTATTTAGCTAAACAAAACTATTTTAAGTCTGCAACAACGGGTGCCGATGACTAAACAGCTTGCCCAGACTTGTCATCTTCTGTTTGTATGGCTATTGAACGTAATCAATATTGCATTCATACCAATATCTCGTTAATGCTATTGTTTACAGATTGCATATTGTCTGTCTTATAATATTTGCATAGATAACATCATACGAATTCTTAAATAATTAGAAAGTTTTATTTAGACGATGTTAATATAACAGATGTATAATTATCATGTCATCATCATAGTGTTCAACCATCTTTACACAGGGTGATGTAAACGTCATTGTTTCAGCTCGTCGGTACATTTACGTGAATATGTTGTGTTCAGCGTGGGCTTGGTCGCCGGAGCGGGCAGCGGGCGGCGGGCGTGTAATAGACAAGTGCCGCACGTCCAGATCCGAAATAGCGCGACACAAATAAAATTCAAAATAAAACCCACTGGACGGCGTCAGATATTCGTGGGGGCTGGGTTCGCTGCGGTTCCGGGAAGCTGGTGGATATTTCGAATATTTTGTTTAAAAAAACATGTTACGATAACCTACAATATTTTCAACGAGTTACAAGCTAGATGTTTTCATTTTGTTAAGGTTTAAATAAGAAATGTGAAGTTATGGTCAAAGACGACACTTAGAACAACTAAAAGAAGTCATTTTTATGTGCAGATTTTTGTAAATCATTTCCATTAAATCAGGAATAGATTTAACGTGGAGAAGACTGTCTTCATTTATGTGTGGTGACTACAGTTGCGAGCAGTCGTCAGCCGACATGCATTCCACAATAAAACTGACGATCGTTCTTGTTGTTTGGTGACGCGCCCGTTTCAAACAATACAATACACGAAGACTACGGTCTTCGATCGAGACTTTTATTGAAGTTTATTGGACTAAATGTCTGAGCAACGAATCAACTGTTCACACTTCAAAGTGGATATTACGTTTTTCCATATGCAAATACTTACTCTATGAGAAAAGAAAACAATCGCACATTTGTATATTTTTTTGGCTGGGATTGTTATAATTAGGAAGGATTGTAATGGTAACATAATAGTGGGTTCTGTCAGCCATTGTGGCCTATCACTTTAACAGGCCAAAGTTAAAAAAGTATGGTATGAGAATCTAGTACCAATTACTATATAACTTGCAAATGTCACTCCTCTCGTTAAAGTCAAATAAAAAAAATAAAAATATTATTCAAATTAGATGGAATTGTCGACGAGAGCTATTAGCACGTAAAACAAGAGTATAAAATTATTAAACATATCTTTTATCGAAATGTATATCTGATAAACTTTTCTCGTTCTTTCCCACAGATAAATATTAATTAAAGATTAAAATTAATGTAAGATTCAGACAAAATGTCACAAAACTGGTAAAACCTGTATGACAATATAATGATTCTGAGAAAAATATAACATCCCGATTGCTTATTTACAAATCCAGTCTTGTATTAGCATACGTAGAATGTTTGTTTTTCATTACACGCGCGAAATGTTTATTGATCGATAAATTCCAAGGCTGTGTCGTCGTTAAATAATATAGCGTCGGGATGTCTGTCTAATTTTACTGGAAACTGTTCCTTCGTGTTCATTTTATTGATAAATCAAGGACATGGATAGTTTTTACGACTCCTATGAAATGTTTGTGAAATTCAACATAGAAATCATACTTATAAATGCAAAATTTCGTAAGTTTGTTACTTCGTTTCTCCAAAACTTCTTAATGAATCTCGATGAAATTCAGCACATATATAGCACATATAAATATTCGGTAAGTTATGATATTTTAAAATAGCTTTAGGACTGATCCCAATAAGGCACTCGAGTGGTGCAGGCGCGGCGCAGGCACAGGATCAGTCGGAGTCAGCCGGGAGCAATGTCCCTGCGGTTTCTATTTAGGTGCGGCCGGTCCGGCGGGAACCCATGCGAGCACTCGACCGTTTAACATGCCACAAGAATGCCATGCTCAAATATATTCATATTGAAACAACTATATTACATTCCAGTATGAATGCACTGGTCAAAAACTAGAGGCTGGAGTTGAGGCAGACTTTGTGCTCGTGTACGAATTTGCCGTCGACTTAATTGGTGATCCAGCATAACAAAGTTATTTTGCTTGCTTATCTAATGAAAAAAAATCTTCGAGACTCAATAAATGAGTTCCAGTAAAGCGTGACAACCGAACACGTATGATCATTATTGGCATGTTAAACTTTCTATTTACAGTTAACATTGTTTTTCACAACACTATTAAGTAAGTACAAGTATAAGCGAACTTAATGCTTTTGCTTGGTTTACATATGACCAGAACAGTTGGTCTGTAGCGCCGGTTTGGCATGGAAATGGCTGGCTCACTGGCGTCAGTTAACGGATAACATTGTAATCCCCTTTGGGAAATTATAACTATAGTAAAACTTATAGGTATTTTTAAACTAAACTTAAACATGTATTCATATTAATCTAGCGCGCGACTCCGTCCGCGTGGAATTAAAAAAAAAAAAAGTAGCCTATGTGTTATTCCAAAGTATCGTCTACGTCTATGACAAATTTCACCGAGATCCGTTCAATCATTTAGGCTACAAACTCTAACAAACATCCATCCATCTAAAAATTAGTTAGAAGTAAAATTGATAAATGTCGATTGTTTCCATTTAATTTCGTTAAGTTAATATTTTCTTGAGCTAACCTAGTACATTTTTTATCTGATATTTCTATAAACAAGTTCCACTTTATAGAAATCAGCTGGAGAGATCTAAACGCCTCGATATTGCAATATTTTCTATCTTTAAAAAATGTAGGTATAAATAAAAATATGTCAATTGTATAGTAAACTGAATGATAGTGCTGTACAAGATCAATATGAAGACAAGAATATTACGTAAATCGTATCCTTTTACAATTTCTCTGAAATCGATTCAACATATGAGTTCATTGTAATCGATTCCAGGCTAATATAACGAAGTGCAAATACTATTGTAGATTTAAGAAATACCGCAATCGGGTTAACCTCAACGATATATAGAATATCACATATAAAACCACATGTTCTCAATAAACTAGAAATCTCGATTTCACTATCAAATTACTTACGTATAAACTTAAAACACTTATCGCATAACTCTAAATATTTTCATAATAGTCCATGGTCAAGATCAATGCAGTTTTCATACATATTGCTCGATATCGTAGTTATGTGTAGATACAGAAATAGTTAGTTGATAACATTAGTCTGTTTACAATCGTAGAATTTAATCAGATAACACATACGCAAATTGTGAATGTGTGCTAACTTGTTAATTCATAACATCGTTCATAAGCAACATAAGAGAAATAGATACTTTCTTATAAGAGATCTTTTATAAAGACAATTTATTCCACAGTACCCTTTTTGTATAATTATTTCAATATTTTTCACGATAAAAATTGTACAACAAAAGATACAGTGTCTGTGTCGGTTCATTTATTGTAATGAATGAGACAACGATAACATTAATTTAAAAAAAAAAACAGATATTCTATAAGTGATCCTAAAATGGTAAAATTTAATTTAATACCGTCTATAGCGCGTTTTTCATTTCATGTAATGATATTCGTACTGTACTAACTAATAATAATGTAAATGAACTCCAGAATAACTTAATAAAGACACATTTGCCGTAAAAATTAGCAAACTAACTTATTTTTGCGCGTTTAACTTTAAGACTTTTAAATCTACCCTATAAAAGTAGAATAAAAATTGGCAATTAAGTTGTGAATACAATCGAATATTTTGTGAAGATTTCCTTAACATTGTAGAAAAATTATTAATTAAAAAAAACGTGTACTCACTTGACATTATGCCGCCGGTGTAGTATCGTTAGTGACAAATAGAGTCACCTTTAATATATCACAAACTACACGCGCGCCCCGCGCAATACTGGCTGATTCGAGATGCGCGCTCGACCGACAAGGCGCCTATCCCCTTGCCGGCGAGCGCTATTGGCTTCACGCACACTACAATAAACCAGAATACGTCACTGCCTGCACACATGTACATTACACTTTCAACTAAATTTAGGCTCAAGCGACAATACAGCGTTTTTTATCATTTTTTATGAAGTTAATGTTTATTTACTACTATTAATTATAAATTAATACGAATGGTAATAATCAGTAACAACTTTACTTCTGTTTGACGCAATGTAATAAGGGCAACACTCTACAAACAGCTGTTTAGCGCGATCGATAGATGTCGGTGGAAGTCGCTTTATTTTCGATGTGGTATATACGGCACCAGTAGTAAAATTACATCGCTGCATGTTGCTATAGTTTTCTTTCGTACCTGTCTATCTGCGGTATTATTTAATTTGCTTGCACGCGATTTAGGGTCGATGTACGAATTCGGATAAAAAAAATGTTTAACAATTATACAGTAAGATGTTACGGCGGCAGTATGAAATCGTACAAAATTCGATATCAAAGGAAATAGCGACGTAGAACGAAAATGTCGTAGCCTGGATGATATCGAGTAGTGTTTGTTTTTGGTGTTTCGGTGGAAACGATGGCAAACTCGACAACGAGCTTGGAGACGCAAATAGACAGTTTTCTGGAACAATTTAAGAGGAGCGCTTCGAAGGCCATGGAAGAAAGAATGGAGTGGCCAGATGGACCCTCGCCTGGAGTCGTCAGGTCTCGCAGCAGCTGCTTCACCCTGGATACTGCTACTGGTGAGTGTTTATTATTATTTGTGTAGTGAATTTTTTATGAATTCCTGAGATAAAAAGAAGTCAATAAATTCGTTAACATTATCAAAACAGGAGTTCCGTTGATTAAATAAGTACTTTACTTGAGCTTTACTTAGTGTTATCACTATCGTAAATAAACATATTTTAATATGAAACATTTATTAAAAAGTAGAATTAATTACATATTAACTAAGCAGTATTCAATGATGCAGTTGTATTGTACAAGTAGACAATAGAAATCTTAAAGCCATAACAATAGGTAGGTAGATATTTAATCAGCAACAAACATAATATTTTTTTAACACATAGAACAATTAACACTTTTTTAAGTATATACCGGAAAAAAACAACTTCGTAAAAAAATAAATGTTGCCAATATATCTTGATATTTAATTTATAAATGTCACACACAATAAATTAATTTAATTTAAACTATTCTACGTCTTCTGGGCTTTTTCTATTTTATTTCTGTATCAGATATTGTCACCTACTTAGTTGCTAGCAATAAAAAAACATACAGACGAATTGAGTACCTCCTTTTGGGAACTCGGTCAAAAAACCTTTGCGTAGAGAGTTATGTCGATTTATGGCGTACGTTTATGACTGTAAACAGACGTCATAACATCAACGAAGTTTTAAAATACCTAAATTAGAACACTCTATATCTTACCCGGTGAAGATAATAACATTGTTCAACGGTTACTTAATGAGCATTTCAAAATGATGAAAGAACACATTAACATTTCATGAAACAATGTGGTATTAACTACTACTTCGATTCATTAAAAATATTTTAATTAAAATTCAATAAATAGGTAAGTAGGTTCGTCATTTGTCACAAAGAGCATTGAATCGATTTTAGAATTGGGACAACGTCCTCGGAAACTCACTGCGTAGGTTGTAGGATAACGAATTATAGAAATAATTTATGTTGCAGTATATTAAAAAAAAACTTTTTATATATACCAGCTATAATCTGTTCGGCGCAGGGTGATTTTAAAAGAAGCAGGTTTTCAATAATTTCTTTTACAACTTTTGTCACTGTTAAAAAACATAAACCATCATTATCTAATGCGACTCCAGGACTGTTTCGTAAACGTATTTAGGAAAATACTTTGGTAACCATTCTTTCCATAATGGAACAGTTAAATCCATTGCCTGCCAAAAAGGACTTCCCACTTATTATACCGTTTTGTGTGTAAGCAAAACATAAAATAAACGATAATTATAATAAGACTTTCTTTTCCAATAAGAAAGTTTGAGTATACGTAACATACGTCATAACATGTTTATTGTATTCAATTTTTATTGAAAAAAATATGTTTGAAATTACAAAACACTGCAACAAATAACAGTTGAACGTCCGTGCGTTCCACGCCACTGCCGACCCTCGTGATGTACGCATCATTCATCTGATTACGTGTTGGATTTTTCTGAGCCAGATTTGTAACGCTATGCTCATATTCTTATTGGATATTGTGTTTAAACTGCGGCCTTAATTTTAACCCGTAAGAACATTTATATATGGACAAGCTGTCGCCCGCAAAATTCGTTACCTCAAATTTTGGACAATCCGTAACGCTATTTTGACATCCCAGTATTAAAAAAGTAGCCTATAATATGCCTATCCATGTCAGCTATCTTCCAGTCAAAGTCCCGTTGAAATCGGCCTAGCCGTTTCAGAGATGACCCGGAACAAACGCTGCTTGCGGACAGACAGACAAAATTTCATTAAATGCGATTTTAGTTTTCAGCAACGCAAATACATAATCTTTTCGAAATCTAGATTTTTTTTTAGTACAACAAACACGCACTCTTTTATTATATGTATAGAATCAGAAATATGCAACAAAATTGTTCATGCATAATCTTAAAATTTTAGAAGAAATAATACTTTTAAAACGTAGGGAATCGTTATTTACACAGACATAAAATTGTTTTATGTACACGTCCTATCGACTACCTATGGGATACCATAGCGGTGCATAAAGCTGCTTTCGTAAACTATCGATTCTCGTCTACTTTGTAAATAATGAAAGAAGTCTCATAGAAACATACTGAAGGCTTTTCATGTAATCATCACTAACAAACAATACATAATTTTAAAACAATATTACCTTATACAAAGTATTACACATGAAAAATAACATATCGTAATGCTATGATTAAAATATCTGCTAATCTAACATTAATGCAATCTAACTTCTTATTACAGTTGAATTATTAATTGGCTAGTACTATAGAGCTTACCAAGCGACGCTTTTAGTCGGGGATAGACAAAAATGCCAATTATTCACTATTGTACCTAGACCATAGATTAAATTACCACAAAAATATGGTAGATCCCTCGTTGTTCTCAAGCAGTTATCACCGGACATCAGTACACAACGAGAAGGAATCTTCTTGTTTCAGTTGTAGTGGTCGAAAGACTTCGGTCAAAATTCGTAGACCTTTAGAAGAAGTAATGATTTGTTTTTGCTTATTGATTTAATGATAGTTATCATTAAATTGAACCTATATCAACCTATATGTTTACTTAAAATAATAGAATTTAGTCATAATGAAACTTTAAAAAAATATTTTCTGTGTATTGAACAAAATGTCGCGTTGTTTTTTGTTTGAATGTTCGCGCCTTTTTGAAGCGATGCGTTCGTTGCGGAAACTTGCGACTTCAGCGCCGCCTAGTGCATGCGCACTGTACCAATGACATGTTCTACGGCGTCCTCCGATTTTATTCACGGAAAGTGTAACGCCATATTGCTTCCGTGAATTCTGTGAAATATTTGTGCATTTCTCTTTAATCATGACTATAATAAGAAAATGGATTGATTAAAAATAATTTACTATCAACGTTTAATCGTGGGGATATAATTTTAAGCATCACAGCTTCAGATTTTACTGGAAAAAGGTGAGTTTTATTCTTTCTCTGGTATGACTATATGGCCCAATATTCCACGGGAGTTCGATCCGCTATGCGATAATGAAACTTAAAAAACGCGATTAAGGTTAATAATTGCGCGATTTTTGTTATGTTTATTTACATGAATTTGAAAAGTTAACGCGGTTTTCTCGTCTATATCGTTGGTTAGTAAGATTTAGCTTAGCATTCGGGGCGGGTTGGCCATCTCATTGCTTATTGTACATACACGTATGTTAGTAGATAGATACATGTGATTTGACATGAGCGATCGGTTGTAGTGTAACTCGAGGGGACGATTATGTCCTATGAGAAGATGGAGGTGGTGAATCCGGCAGAAAAGGAAGCCAGTGAGGTGCTGCACTCTCTATTGTCGGTGGAGCGTCGTAGTGTAGACAGTAAGGAAGCGATCATTGTTTCCATTCCGGCCGATCAAAATGGTGGAGGCGAGTACGGCGAAAGTGCCCAATGGCACACCCCGGTCATGGGGCAACATTCAGTTTTTGAACTGAGCACCGCACAAGGTTTACAACAACATACTTACAATGGGCATCAGGAGCAGGTATATTATTGCATTCATATATAATTGTAATATCTTTTTAATTCTCTACTAATTATGGTAATTCACAACAATTTCAGGTGCTTTGGCAAGGGCATACTATACAAGTGGAGAATGGAGATGGCAATCTGCAAGCGATGCAGGGAACATACAGTATTGAGTTTGAACCAAATGTTGATGGTGAAACTGGGGATATGGAAGTTGACACAAAACCAAAGGTTGAAAAGAAAGTTGCTGTCAAGAGAAAGAAAAAAATGGCAGAATCAGATAGTGATGATGATGTCTTTGATAACAAATTGGAAGACAATCCTTCACAGGTGATTGCAAATTTCTAAATTCATATTTACTAGAAATGTTTTAACATAAAAATTTCATTTCTTTATTGTATTACTATATTTTACAGGTAAAAGAAAGACTGAAAAGAGGCTGTGACTGCAAAGATAATTGCTATAGAGGTCTCAATCCAGAAGCTGTGTACCGCCACAGGTTAAATATTGCAGAATTGACAAAAAGTGAGCATGACATGTATCTGATGGGCATTACAATGGCAAGTTTAGCAAATCCCGCAGAAACATCTCGTCACAAAGTCAGAAGGAGATTAAGAGCGTGCTATGTTTATCAGGGGAGAAAAGTTTGTTTAGAAGCTTTTTTATATTTGGAAAATGTAACACATTATCAGCTCAAGCGGATTAGACAGCATGTAATGACGCATGGAGTGGCTCCCCGAATACATGGTAATGTTGGTAAGAAGCCATACAACACTTTCACGCTGGACATTTACAAGCACGCTACTAATTTCCTAAAGGAATATTTGAAACAACATGCAAGCTCACCAAAGGATGTACAGCCATCAGGTGAAGGAGGCAAGAAAACAAGCAAAACAGTTATAATACAAGGTGATTCAAGAAAACACCTATTTGAGGCATATAAGGAATATGGGGAAATTTTGGAACCTGGTGTAAAGCTTATGGGCTATTCGACTTTCCGGGCATTCATGAAGGATCAATTTCCTCAAGTTAAGTTTGCAACAAAGAAGCAGGAGATGCCAAAGGATATGGTGCCTTTCCGCAGTGGGAAATGTATGTCATATGACAAAAACAAGGACCCTATTAGGATACAGCAGGAAAAAGAGAAAGCTGATGCTAAAAAGGCAGCTATGGATGCAAAGAAGAAAGAGGACATGGAGAGGGAGCAACATGCACAACAAGAAGCACAGCAGCAGCAACAACAACAACAACAACAGCAACAGCAACAGCAGCAGCAACAACAACAACAGCAGCAACAAGTGCAACACCAACAACAGCAACAAGTTCAACAAGTGCAGGTGCAACACCAACAGATGCAGAATCAAGGCCCTCATGTTGTTATACATCAACAACAACCACAACAACAATCGATGCAACAGCAGATGTTGGTGCCGCAAGTGAGTCAACACCAACAAGTGTTGACACAACAAGTGGGTGGTGTTCAACAAGTTTCCCAACAGCACTGTGTTCAGCCGTTGGGGGTGTCGGAGGATAGTGGGCAGCCAGTGGAGATGGCTCAGCAAGTGATACCGCTGGCGGTGGTGCAGCAACCACAGCAGGCGTACCTTGTCACTCCAGTGTCACATTTCCAAACACGAGTACAAGGTGCCTGGTACAGACATTGACATCGGAATGTCACATTTGAAAATACAATGAAATAGAAATGTGATGACATTATTGACATTGAAGCAACAAATTTTGTGGCCGGAGAAATATTTTTTATATGCCACATGTAACTTTGGCAATAAGCTAGTAGATACTTAGGTTTAACACCTTCTCAGTATTGATAACTGAATGAAACAAGTGTCTGTAAGTATAAATTTAATCATATTTACACAATTTACATTAGCAGTAGCTATGTAGTATATTTTATAGGCATATGATTTTGTAGGTATTGTAAGTTAATGTTTGGACAACTTGTCATTTGTGTGAAGAAGAACTGCAATTTTGTGAATCATTAATCCCGCCTTCAGGTATCTTTTAGGAATTGGTATTATTGCCTTTATTATAGCGCGTTTTTAATGGTTTTTTCTGCTCCCAGATATAATATTTTCTTGTATGAAAATTTATCCTTAAAAGTGTATCATCACAGTAGTATGAGAAATGGGGAATATGTAGTAAAAATGCAAATAATTTTAAATATTAGGCTGAAAGATGTAGAAAGTGAAGTGTTTGCACAGAATGCAATATATTTTCCCTCCGTCAACAATATCTAAAGTTTACTTATAATTATATTAAACATCACATTTATTTCCTTTGGTTTAAATAGTTTTAATTTTGTATTCTTCAATCTTAATAGTTATAAATGTGGATGAAATTATGTTTGTTTACCCAAGGAAAGCAGTGCCTTTAACTATTATGGGTAGATAAGTATAACAAAAAACTGGTTGAATTATTTAGCGTGAGATCTATGCAAAACTTTTTTTAACTCCCATACTTAGGCGGTGTTAAAATTTGAGATTTTGTTACTAAGGGACTGCTGTTAAAACAATTCTGAATGTAATGGAAGTTATTTTAACATTTTTATGTTTTATACATATCAAAATTTCGTAGTGAATAATTATAAAGACATAAGTTACTGGTGTTTAAATAGTCCTCAATATGCAGTCTGAAGTTAATTTAGTATGTTACATTTATTTTTTAGAGAGTGTAGGAATGTAGTTGTAGTGTTAGTTGTGTGCCCTATATGTACACAGGGATTTTTAATATGTTGTTCCTTTCACAATAAATGATGGACTATTGAAAGATATTTAAAATGTGATTTGGTAGTAAACTTCCATTTTTTTTCGATAATATACTCAAATTAATCATGAAATTGAAAATTTTGATCCTAATTTATTTAAGGTTCTATTTAAATCACATAAATGATTTAATTGGAAAATTTGTTCCGAAACAAAAATTAAGACAAATAAAAAAATTATAAATTTCCGATTGTTTCTTTTGAAATTAGAAAAAATTGTGAAAGATCCTGTGTTCAAATTGAATTAAATTGTGTTGTGTGTAAGTTGTTGGTAATAAGAATTGTATGGTAATACAGAAAAGTACATATATTTGAAGAAAGCATGTAATGTGTGGTTTGTGAGTGAAAAACTGAAACAGTCCCAAACTTAATGTTTGATTTAATAATTGTTTAATTGTAGGTTTCAAGGAATGAATTATTTTAAAAAGAAATTGTCACATTTCTATATTGAATGAAGTTTATATCAGCCTTTAAAGTCCTGAGAAAAAAAAAAACTAAATGTGGCTTATTTAAAAAAAAATATTTAACATAACACACATCAGTTCTCTATGTTTTATTTATTGAAAATAATTGTATTTTAAAATTCATAAACCAGTTTTTAGATAGTATCAACCAATATTCAATATCATTGTGTTAATCTTTTCGTATTTAGTTGTTAGAAATATAAAGTAACTGTGTAATATTATTATCAAGGAATAACTTACATTGTGTTGAGAAACTTTAAAATTTTCAATTGCATATTTTCATACAAATATTTTATAAAAAAACTTGATTTGTTTCTTAATTAAGATGGACGTAATATTGTAATTTATACAAGTACATAAGTGTGTAATCATATTTTATTAGAGAGTACAGGAATGTGCCTAGAAATTATGCTTATCTATGTATTTTTATAGTGCAATAGATTTAAAATTTTGGCATTCGACGAAATATCGTTTAAAAACATCCTTGAAAGACATTAAAAATAGAGTTTGGAAATATTAAGGAAAATAGTTTTGAATATGCTTTATTTTGTGGTATTCTAACCGTAAAAGTATAAATTATTGACGTTCATAATATTGTATTTTTGAATGTACAAGACAAACTAGCTTCGCTAGATTTGTCCTAAGCATTTAATTTGGCATCTATATGTATTATGTAACAAGATCAATATCGTACGTAGGAAGACATCATGTGATAGAAAATAAACTTTTTTACGCTAGTATACGTCTTTTTGTTTCATTAACATTTAACTAACCCCCAAGAAAAATTACAAGTTTTGCGTATGTTTGTTAAATTGTTATTTTACTCTTTGACGGTACAGCAAATCTCCGAATTTTTCCACACATTTAAAAAGGGACATAGACCGAGAGTGAGTACCAAAGATCCTGAGATTAAAAAAGAAATTCAAGACAAACAAAGCCGCGGGCACATGTTAGTATGCTATAAAATTAAGATGATGGAGTGATGTTGCACCCACGCCATCCTCGTTCAATTAACGGCCGGTGCAAACAGCCGGAGACTCCGTCGGGGGTGTGCGTTCGTCGCACTCGCCACAGCAGTCTCGACCGTTCGCTACTCGCCGATCGCCCGACACTCACTCGACAGTTTAATAAATTCAGCGCGTCGATCATTTGTAAACAAAAGTCATTGTTTCGTCGCCACTCAGTTTGACGATGGCCACTTGAGTCGACGGCCGCCACATCCAATTGCTGATCAGACAACATAAGACATGAAGTTTTGGAAGTGCTGTAGTAAGCGCAAGCGCATCTTGACCGGTGAGTTAGAACGATTTAAAAATAAGTTTATTGCATGTAGAGCATGTCTTATTTTGTATACACATGGGGTACGAATAATCCTGGAATCTTGATTATTTTTAATGCAACTTCAGGAAAAACAGTTTACTGATGACCTAAGCTGGTTGCCAATAATACTACAATATTTAATTACAACTGACGTAAACATTCACATCATATGTCTACTATATTAAAGAATTAAATCCGATTTCAATCAATTGTAAGAACGAAGCACAACTAATTGACGACCTTGTTAGATTCAGATCTATAATGACCACTACTTTATAACTACTGATTGTTGGCAATGTGGTCACAATCACGAATCTATAAAAGTATCTTTCCTGTGTAGTACGGATTATCAAATGTTACCACAAAGTTTTAGGTGATCGTCTATATCACTGGACGTGCTATAATTAATTTTTACCGTTAGTATTTATATATATTGAAACAGATGACCACACGCTATGCCAGCACCATTAATGGTATCTTGTCGAGAAATAAAAACTATTAGTGCGTGACGAGTAGCCACATTAGCCACATTAGTCGATATAGATTTCGGTTCCTTGTTACATTTTTACCGTTTTTTTTATCTTATTTCAAAGTTATCTTAGTATCATATAATTGCATATGCATTTCTATAATGCCAGCTGCAAGTTTAATCAAATAATTTGGTTCGCTTTAAAAACTTTCGCGAGCTTTCTCGCGAGTGTCTTTTGTATGTTACGTAAAAATACGTCGTATTAATTTCGCATTTAAATGAGGCGAGACCGGGGTCTTAAACGACTTCTCGAAGTTATACCATACCTACCATTCGCGAACACCACCCGTTTGTAATTTGCCTAAACAAACTAAGTTGCATTTATTTAATATCTATTTCATTTTTTTGTCATTGTGACCTTGGGTATATTTTAAAAGATTAAAAAATCTTATTTGAAGTGATTTTAAACTATGATCGACGTCATTGTTCACAATTCTTTGTGTTAACGAGTGGCTATCTTTGACACGGACGTGCGTTGTCCGAGTTTATACCTACTTACCCGTTTGCCCTACATCAACCGCAGTCTTCATTAAACCTTGTTTGCAGATGCCACTTTAATCAACTATTTAGGAATTTAGCTCATGCTTGATTACAGATCAAGTAGATTAGAGTTTAACGAGTAGAGATCGTTTACTTATTTGATACATAACGGACTTTGGTAATTTGTTGTGCTGAAATACCTAGGATAATAGTAGGACCTTTATATTAATAAATGTAATATGATTATATGAAGAATACATTGTATTAAAATTGACAAAAGCGAATGTCGTCATAGTCCGTTGGTGGCGCACGGCCGGGTGTGATTGGTATGCGAGCCACGAGCCATCAACCGCCGCCGCTTTTGTCCTCGCGCATTGTCCCCTTCCTTCCTTCTCTTCAATCCCTTTTTGAAAAGGAGGCCGGTTAGCTTTTCAATATTGTTGTAGGTAAAAGACCGCTTAAATTGATTGTACGTTTATACCATATGATTTAGTATAAGCTTTAGCAAAAATACAATGAAAAGTATACAAAGCCCAATCAATCACCATAAAAGAAGGCAAAAATGAATTATAATTTTAATTAAAAACTACTATTTACAGATTTTTGTAGATATAAATCTATGTATTTCTATGTATACGTTAGTGCGTAAGTCGTGTCTGAACAATAAACCTGTTTGCCTGTCTGGACGCACTGCCGGTTTAAATCCAAACACATTAACTTAAGTACCCGCGTCGTAGGTGGATTACGGATTGAAGAATTGCAGGGTGCCAGTTACAATGAACACACACTTTGGCTTCGTATGTATTTCATTACTATCGTAAATTATTTACTGAACTGCTTTTTATGTTAATCTTAAAAGCGTGGGCTAAACCTTCGACTAAACTATCGCACAGCTGTTGTGCGATTGTCGATTGTTTCGCAGCAAATTCAACAGTTTAGTTGCACAAGTAAAAATCGAGTAGTGTGCACACCTCCGTCTAAGCTCATAGGAATCAAATCGCAACTAAACAGAGTTGCGATAGTTTAGTTAGAGGCGTAGTTTAATCTGATGTCCTAAAACTGAAATATCTCTGTGACCGATGACCGATAAGCATTTGGTAGAACCGACCGTCGATCTATCCTACATACCTTACGTAGCGGTCGCAGCGGATTTTATCGGAATTTGCTTTAGTACCCTTTACGTTAGGCTTTAACCCGTACTTCTGATCGTTTATACTTATCTAGATTATATATACTTGTCACATTGAATGATGAATTAATTGCATACTATTGATTATTTGGTGTGAAATCATTTCACAAAAAAGAAAATTATAAGAGAACGGTGTTAAAAGAACATTAATAAAATTTGCAGCCGAGGCTGTTACAATGCATTTTTTACGTTTTCCTTTATCTCAAAATGACTCGTAACTGTTTATTTCGTGCAATCGGTACTTAGTATAAAATGTTTCTAATCTATGCTCGTGTTTACTCAATAGATCGAATATTTCAAATCCATGTCCTGTATCCTAAGTATTGAATAGCGTTGACTTTTTATATTCTCAACAATGAACAGCACAATTGAATACAGTCGCTATAAACCGAAGACAATGGCGGTAACATATAACTCGCCATGTGCATGTGCTAATAGTTCTACATAGGTTAATGAATCCGTAAACAATGATATTTTGCGTCTATACGTTGTACGAATTTACAAACGGGAAAACTTAGGGAAAGTGATTTTTTGTTATAGCTAATTTTATCTTTGCAAAACAAAAACATTTAAATCGGTCTTAGTTTAAATTATTAAACTGTCAAATAATTTGATAAATACGTGTTAAGCTTTCAGTCAACTTAGTGGAGGTTTTTAGTTAATCTTTTTAGAATTTTAGACACCTAATTAGTGTCCAAAATTCTAAGAAACGGTTTCCTCGATAACATAGCTGTAAAATAACATTGTAATACGCTAAGTTGAACTTTGTGGAATGTAAACAGTGTGCAGGTTTTTCCTAACAATTATACGAACTAACTTGTAGAGTTTAATAAGTTCGTTGTTATTTTTTCCAATTTAAACAATGACATACGTTTTCAGTTTAAATCGTTCAATCCGTAGAAAAGCACTCTATTTTATATTCTATAAAAATATTTCAGGGAAATCTTTTACAGAAATAAATGACAAGTATTCTGAAAATATTGTAGAATTAAGTCCTCAAAATTTCCTCGTCTTCTTTTTACGGACTTCCCAAAAGAAGGAGGTACTGAATTCGTCTGTATGTTTTTTTTAAATATAGGGGATTTTTTGCCGCACTTTTCGTACCCGACTCGATAATGACCGGCCGAAGACATTATTATGTAAATGCTATGCAACAGCCGGCGTTGTACTCTGACGTCTCATCAAAACAGTTCTAATCGCTTCGTTCATTTCGTCACATGCAGATTACATCACATCTCGACGCGATCAGTTCTCGATGTAGGCCGGCGCGGCGGGAGTATCCCGTTGGCAAGCGCTCAGTACGCGCTCTGTCACCGGAGCACACCCGCGCCATTCAATCGTGACGGCGCGCCAACATTTTTGTTTTTTTTTTTAATAACCTCGCTGTCAGTTCGGAAATCGAAGTGTCGTGGCTCAGTGGAAAACAAAATTTTGTGAAATGAAAATACGTTTTGAAGTGCCCAACAAATTGGAAATATTTTTTGGTCGAGGTAGTAGTTTTATTTATTTATTTTAGTCAACTAAACGTTAATCTACTATTACCTAATTATATTATTTTATTTATTGCAAGTATAGTTAAATTTAATAGAGAGATATTTCATTAATAAATATTAAAATCAAATCTGACTTTGGAATCGTATGAAATAATGTTTTGTTAAGGTTGAGTTGTTTTTAACCTTCATTTTATACTAGTAGCTCTACAAACATACGTGCATTGTGATAATCTGTGTACATATACACATAATAATAATACAATGTAAACACAACACGTTCGTATTATTAGCGACTGCGCGGGAGATAGGATTCTACAATAAATATAAATAAAAAGAACGTGCAAAATAGACATGCATTCAACATGCTCTTTGAACAACTGTTCAGTTGAATAAGCTGAACAATTAATTTAAAATTGAAGCTAAAATTCTCCACAGCCTTATTAAGATTCTAATCTATGGATCTATTGTATATTTTTCATAAACAAACAGAAGGAGTTTGTGCGAAATTTAATTTAGGATAACCAAAATATTCTCCGTTTGTTATCATTCATTTTCTTATCTCGCTTATCAATTTAGAATCTAAATCAGTAACAAAACTCATTTCGTATGCACGGTGCGTGCTGGAGAGATGTTCGTCTTTTGATGGATTTTACTTTTCACGCCGAAGTAAAATTGAAAGCATGCAAAATGAAATTTATGTATTGTGCGTAAAAAAATATTACAATGTGTGG